TAAAGGGCACCTTAAACAAAGCATAAGATTTTAAGAAAAGACTAAAAAAGATATACTGGGAAGACATTTATAAGCTAGTTTCTTGGGCAGCCCCGGTGGCGCAGCGGTTTAGCGCCGCCTGCAGCCCGGGGTGTGATCCTGGAGACCCGCGATCGAGTCCCACATCGGGCTTCCTGCAGGGAGCCTGCTTCTCCCTCTCCCTCTGCTCTCTCTGAATAAATAGATAAATCTTAAAAAAAAAAAAAATACGCTAGTTCCTTTTACCAAATTAGAAGCTTCTAAAATCAAGAGGCAGGGCATTTGCTTGAAAGTATAATCAAAGAGCTTGCCAATGTTAACCCACTCGAGAACTGAAGAACTCTGTTTTCTTAGCCACTGATGGGCAAAAGTTTAGAGGATACAGTGTTGTTCCTGTCCTTTTTTCAGGTGTAGGAACTTAATTCACATAGTGGTGAAGGAAAAAAAGACAAGCACGGCCATGCTGAAAAATCAGAAGAGTCAGGAATGAGATAGGCAACCTTTACATGGTTAAATGTGTGTTGTTGAAGATACTATCCAAGTCAAAAGAAAGCATAAAACTGTCAAACGTATTTTGCTGGTTCTGATACTGAAGCGCCTCATATCACATACCCTAATTTTAGGTTAACTACCTAGGAAACCAATTTCAAAATTTTATCAATTTAATTTACCATAAAATCTTGAATTCAATGCTTTGTTAAAGTCCTTTTTTGGGGCAGCCCGGGTGGCTCAGCGGTTTAACGCCGCCTTCAGCCCAGGGCCTGAACCTGGAGACCCGGGATGGAGTCCCTCATCGGGCTCCTTGCATGGAGCCTGCTTCTTCCTCTGCCTAGGTCTCTGCTTTCTCTTTCTCTCTCTCTCTCTCTCTCTCTCTCTCTCTCTGTATGTGTGTCTCTCATGAATAAATAAATAAAATATTTATTTAAAATAAAATAAAGTCTCTTTTTAAAAAAAAGACCTCATCTAAACTTTTTTTTAAAGAGATCTCATGAATACATACTGGTCCCGTGACAAAAATGTCACTCCTGGGTACTAAACTTAAAAGTAATACCATTCTAAATTGGCACTATTTATAAAGCTTGACTGCTGTCCTTTGAACAATAGAAAACCAGGGTCAAGGATCTTATCTGTAGAAGAGAAAGTCTTATATAAACTCTAGTCAACAATAAAAGACTGGGTCCTTTTGATATGGCCATCTTCAGGCCTTAGAAATAGTAGTTTGAGAATCTACATCAACAATGGAAACTGGAGATTATGTTTCCCATTCTGAATAGAATGATTCCATCATTATCTCTAAGCCATATCTTAAAAAAAAAAAAAAAAGATTGTATTTATTTATTCATGAGAGACACACAGAGAGGCAGAGACATAGGCAGAGAGAAGCAGGCTCCATGCAGGGAGCCCCACGTGGGACTCGATCTTGGGTCTCCAAGATCATGCCCTGGGCCAAAGGCAGGCGCCAAACCACTGAGCCACTCAGGCTCCCTCTAAGCCATTATCTTTTTTCTTTTTTTTTTTTTTTTTTAATTTATGATAGTCACACAGAGAGAGAGAAAGACAGGCAGAGACACAGGCAGAGGGAGAAGCAGGCTCCATGCGGGGAGCGCAATGCGGGACTCGATCCCGGGACTCCAGGATCGTGCCCTGGGCCAAAGGCGGGCGCTAAAATGCTGAGCCACCCAGGGATCCCCCCTCTAAGCCTTATCTTAAACAAATTATGACAGTTCAAAATGGGATAGAAAAAAAAAATCTTAATTCTGCTGCTGGAAAGAATTACTGTATTTTTAAAAGTCATAGGATTTAAATATGACTTATAAAGAACTGTAAACCTATTTCTAAATGGAAATAAAGGTTTAATTAAAATTCTTCCTCTCCAAACTTTGCTTGGCTAGATTGGACTCATTCTTTAAGTCCCTGTTTATCTAGAAAGATTTTGTTAAATGCCCTAAAACCAGGACAAGAATCCCTATCACCTCCTCCAAAACAGTACATTACAGTAACTCCAGGTTACGTACTTTATGGGGTTTTGTTATTACTGCTGTTCTTGTTTAGTCTCCCCTATTAGATTGTAAGCTCCATAAGGGCAAAGACTATCTGCCATGTCAAAATTGTGTCAGTATTTAACACGTGATCTATAACAAGTAACAAAACATTTGTAGAGCAAATGAATTACAATTTCTAAACTTTTCCTTCCCAAGGATTGTTCCAGTTTCCTTTTAAAATGGCTTTTCCATGACAATCCCATTACTCGAATCCTAACCAAGAATCATCCTGTTAACTACTCACCCTACACATGGAAAAAGGTCAGACTTAAGCAATTTGTTATACTCTGCACACAAATATCAAAGTATAAGAAACTGACTACAGAGTGTTATGTTTTTATACCACGTATAATGCTACGCGGTATAAAGTAAAAACTAAAAAATCAGTACAAACTAAAAATTTTGTTTCTTAAAAAAACCAGTTCAAAGTCAGGTTCTCATAATTACAACACCTTTACAGGACTATGTTTTACTGTCTGTCTGGTAACTTCTCTGAGCACATGTAAAACTCTAAAACAATAAGAAACTATTGTGGCAAACGGGAAGAAGTTGATTGGGGAGACATGCACTATTTTATGTGTGACTACCCTAAATAAGTACATTATCATGGAAATAAATAAAACTATCATCTGTTAATGATTATTTATAACGTGGCATGGCGAAGAATGACAAGATTTGTGATATGTGCTAAAACAGTCCAATTTGGAACAAAGTATGCAAAAGAAAACAACCTCAGTTGATTCATTATATCAGACTTAGACCTTTCACAAGACCTAAAGAAAAAGAAATGCTACTCCATCTAAGATAGGCAACACCCTGGAGCAAATATCTAGTTATATGGAAGTCTGTTTATGATTCAATTCACTAAATTCCTAATAGGACCTATATTATCTAATATGTATCTATATGTCAAGAATGGATCCAGGAACCTAATATTGATTCCCTGTATTTCTCATGTTTGTGACCCATTAATGAACCACAGACAGCAGTTGTAAAACAAAATGAATGGAATAAGATATAAAATATAAGAAGACAGCACATGTAATAAGGGAAAGTATTATTTCTTGAAACTTTTGATTCTACTTCTGCGTGTGTGAGACAATGTAAAATAAATACCTAAGTGTGGGCTGCAATAAAAAAAAAAAAAAAAAGTGTGAATGCTACTCAGGAGTTTCGGCTCCCAATTACTTCTTCCCCCAAAAAAACCGCAAAAACAGAAACTCTCCATCACAACTTCTCAAAATGAAAAGTGACCTCAACCCAGGGAGAGGTTTTAACAGTTTAAGCTTGATTTCACAAGCTCTAAAATCAAACTGAATTCAAATCCAGGTCCCAAGACTTTCTGTGTCAATTAGGACTTACTTAAACAGTTTGTGCTTCGTTTTTGTCACCTGTAAGATGAGGGTAATATTATCTTTCAAGTTGGGGGAAAAACAAACAATACCTTAATAAGTTCTTACTATATCTTTTACCGTAAATAGAACAAATTAAAAGAGTGGTAGGTATGAGCAACAGCAAGAAACGTAACAGAAGGTATCTTCAGTGTGTTATCTTTGATGTTTGTGTGTGGGCCTGGTGCTTTTTCATTTTGTCTTTCTATCCTATGTGAATTGTATCATGTATATATACATTCATTTTCAATGTAATGTTTATAATGTATGTAACATTACCTTCATCTTTTGGAATATAATAGTAGATATCTGGGCAGTGAGATTACAGTCCTTTTTTGAATACTTCTTTGTATTTTATAAAAACATTTTATATGGCTTTAAAAGACAACGGTCAACTACTTGACTTAAAAAAAAAAAAAAAAAGACAAAAAGTGTGTGGTCCACGATTTAGGAACTAGCGTTATTCTTGGGGGGAGAACCAATGTGCCAGTTGCTTCTCACTAAATCCTCACACAAACCTAGATATCATTTTGTCAGTGAGAAAACCGAGGCAAGGGGATCCCTGGGTGGCTCAGTGGTTTAGCGCCTGCCTTTGGCCCAGGGCGTGATCCTGGAGACCCAGCATGGAGCCTGCCTCTCCCTCTGTCTGTGTCTCTGCCTCTCTCTGTGTCTCTCATGAATAAATAAATAAAATCTTGAAAGAAAGAAAGAAAGAAAGAAAAGAAAGAAAGAAAAGAAAGAAAGGAAAGAAAGGAAAGAAAGGAAGAAAGAAAAAAAAGAAAGAAAGAAAGAAAGAAAGAAAGAAAGAAAGAAAGAAAGAAAGAAAGAAAGAAAGAAAGAAAGAAAACTGAGGCAATCAAGATAAGGTAAAACTGTCAGACAACTAACAAATAGGAGGGTCCAGGGCTTCAAAGCCTTTATTTCTTCTACCATCACATAATGCATCCAAATATTCTTCTCCGGTTGTTTCATACAGGCATATTTTAAATCTACCCAGTTAGACTGTAAACTCCTTGAGGAAGAGAAAAAGTGTCCCAGATTTCATTCATGTCTTCCATGGGCTTCGGAAAACTAGGATAGATCCTTCAACACTTGTTGAGGTACATTAAACTTCTTTTGGTCTAGACTGTTCTCATGGGACACATACCCTTGTACATGTTGTAAAAAAAAATAAAAATACACGAAATAAACTAAGGAAACAAATGGCAAAACTCTTAAGACTGCCCAAATCTAACGTCATTCCTTCACACTGGGAACCGAGGAAAGTTTAAGTACCCCCATACCCGGGGACTACCGCCAAGGGGGTCTGGAAACGAGTACAAGTACCACGCGGGAGGCGAACACTCCAAAAAGAAGGGATTCACACCTTCCCCCCACCACGCCCCCGTCCTCCGGGCACTAACCTAAAGAAAGGAACCCCGAGCCTTCCGGCGAGGCGTCGGCAGAGCCATAACCACGCCCCCATCCCCTTCCATCACCGCTGGCTTTCCGTCCCTACCCGGACCCCCATTCCCAAGACCGGACCCCTGAAGAAACAAAAGTCTCTGACCTGCAGCGAAGTGCAGGGGAGAAGACTTCCGGCCGGCCATGTCCTTGGCATTCACGTTTGCCGCGTCCACCAGCCTCTTTACCCGGGACACGTCCCCATTGCGACAGGCCTCCAACAGTTCCCGTAGGGCCCCGCTCACGGCTGGGACCCCTGGCCCAGGGCCCGCTGCCCCAGGCCCCAGTGTTGCTGTGGTGCTAACTCCTGCCGCCTCGGGGCTCTCCGCCAAGCTCGATCCGGGGGAGGATGGAGAGGAAGAGGAGGAAGAAGTCGGGGAAGAAGAGGACGACGGTGAATTGTTACTGCCACCGCCGGCTGGGTTGGGAGCGACCCCCACGGCAGATGAAGCGGACACCGCCGGGGCCACGGGAGCGGCGGCGACGGTACAGATTGTGCTGGTGGTACTGCAACAGCTGGTACTGTCAACCGGGTCCGGGGATCGAGGCCTGTCGGGCGGATCCCGACTGCCATCCCCCTCCGGCAGCGCTAGGCCGTGCCGCGGGGAGGCGAAGGGGGCCAGGCCACCCGCCGTTGGGGAGGCTGGGGTGGTCCCCGGGGCCAGGCCGGGGCTGAGTGGGGGGGGAGGTGGTGGCGGCGGCGCCGAAGCCCCTGGGGCGGGCTGGAGCTGTTGTTGATGATGGTGGTGATGATGCTGAGAGCGACGCGACGCCGCCATCTTCGGACTCCCCCAGCACTGTCACTGCGGCAACGGCCCCACCGCCCGCCCTCACTTCCGACCTCTAGGCCAATTAGCAGCCAGCGCACAGGAAATGATGCTTGGCGGAGTGGGCGGGGCCTAGGAGAAGGAGGGAAGTATTGGGAGCCGGGAGATCCGCCACGGAAGGGGGCGTGGCTTGGCGGCTGCGGGGCGGGCTTTGTGACGCCTTGGCGGGCCGGCGGCGGCGTTTTGAAAGTTGGGACTGACCACTCCCCGGATGGGGCGCTTTTCCTCCTTTCTCGCTCTCACCTGGCTTCCGTGGTTCAGATTGCCAGGATTGGAATTCAAGCTCTGTGATTTCCTAGCTGTGCCAATTTGGGCAAACTGTTTAAACACTCTGCGTCTCACCTTCTCCCCTGCAAAACAGCGAACAGATCAATAATCGTTGACTATTAAAATGATAATTTTTTCCTATTGTTATCTCTGTACTTTTATTTTCTCACCTTAAGTTTGACTCAAATAATTATGAATATGTACCTTTTGAATTCTTTTCAGCTGGACTTCTCCAATGCTCTCACCTCAATTCTCTCTCTCTCCCAAAGTAAGATAAAAACCTCACTCCTCTCCATCACTTACCTTAAGTTGCCATTCTTCAGAAACTACTTTTTCTCTCTTTCCTCTGCCTGCCCCTACTTTTTTCTCTCTTTCCTCTGCCTGTCCCTACTGCCATTAAAAAAAAAAAAAAAAAAAAGATTTATCAGTGCATGGGGTAATCTCTGTGATCTCCATTCCCTGACTCCTATTTTTTTTAAAGATTTTATTTATTTATTCATTAACACACACACACACACACACAGAGAGAGAGAGAGAAAGAAGCAGAGGGAGAAGCAGGCTCCATGCAGGGAGCCCGATGAGGGATTCAATCCCAGGACTCCAGGATCACGTCCTGGGTCAAAGGCAGGCACTAAACCGCTGAGCCACCCAGGGATCCCTGGACTCCTATTTAATAGTAAACTAGGCATTGTGGAAGTTTAGACAAACAGCATTATTCCAATAGAGGGCTTATAGATGGACACCATCTTAAGAAAGAACAAGGTTTACGTGGGTCAGTAGAAATTTGTCTCTGCAGAATATTAAACCGGGTGATAAATCATTCTTTTAGAAACTCATTTTAATATAATTTTACTGTGATGTTAATATTCTCAGCTAAATAAATAGGTAGGTTTATTTAATAAGACTGCTATCTACATAAAACAAGGTCAGAAACATAATATTGAGAGGCATTTGTTATCTGAGGTTATAGATTATAACTGAACAGTATTCATCTGTTTCATAAATTTGTGCCTATTGTTCACAAATACATGGCCAGATAGGAAAACTCCATCAAAACAAGTAAAATAAAAAAAAAAAAAAAGTAAAATCTGTCATAATGCACATTCTCCTGGTTTTGAATCTTAAACTAATGCGCAACACAGGGTAGCATTGAAAAGTGGAGTTTATCAACATAAGACATTAGATGCCACTAACTCACCTTGTGCCCCCCTTGACTGTGGCCTTCTCCCTGAATCGGAGGCGTAAGGAATATCCCACATGGTCCCCTTATGGCCAATTACTCGTAGATCATGAGAAGTAGTCATGTTTACCCTAATTCAAATGCATCTACTGTGTCTGTTTATCAATACAAATAAATAAGAGAATTTCTACTGGATAAAGATAAAAAGGCCAAATTGCCAGAAACCAACCATTCTACTGGTAAACTATGTCTGAAAATGCATTCGATCAATTGGAAATTGCTTTCTCCCCCTCCAGTGGAAAGTAGTAAATGTACTTAACATTAAGTATTTATAAGGTTTAGGTTTATATGAACTAATATTGAGCTCTAAACAGGAAAGGGCAGATATCATTACCTAATCTTTTACAGCTAAACACAATTCCACGAGGGATGCACTGTACTCTAATGAAAAGAGCAAAGCTTGAAGTCAAATGGGTTTGAATCACATCTCTGACGATTGCTTATTGGTTAATCTTGGTAAATATGCTTCAGCTCTGTCATTCCAAAATTCTGATTTTATTGTAGCATTGTCATGAGGATTAAAAGACCTGGGTGTTTTATAAGTACTTGTTGAGTGTTAGTTTCATTCTTTTATGTAGTGTGCATAAGGTGTTAATAGGAACTCAGAGCCACTATCGATACCATCTCCTTACAATTTCCTCTGACAAAGATAGTGACTAGAAATAAATATCTGACATTTTACATGTAACAGTAATCTTAAGCAAAGAAAGATCACATTTAATTGTTTCCTCATATGAAAATTCAAAGTTTTATACAGGCCCTGATTATCTCCAAGAATTGTTGAGGATCATAGTTGTACAACATCTAGCCATTTTCAAGAAATATTTTCAGAAAAATTATGTCAATGTGGTATAAAAACATGAACACATAGCACTCCCTTGAGCCATATTGTTGACACAAAGAAAGAACCACCAACTCAAAGGGCACTGACCTTCTGGGCTATGATGTAATGTTTGATTTTCCCCCACGGGGATCATATGAACACACTTTGTAAGTTTCACAGTCATTAACTTGCACTGTCCATAGTTCAATTAGGCTTGGTGTGATTACTCCATCCACATGCTTCTCATTGGTCTGCCCCAGATCCAAGTTCACCAGGAGTATCTTAAATCTACTAAACCCACTTACTCTTCCATGCTCAGAACCAAGCCTTCTCTGCAAATTCATGCTCACAAGCTAGAACTTAGCTGAGGCAGTGCCATTTCCTCACCTTGGCCTCAGAAGATAAATTATTCTCATGTCAGAAACATCCATTGTGCCAACAGCCCAGATTTCTCTCTGTGAAGGTAGTACAAGGCTGAGAGAAATTTTAGCTGAATTTCCATCTGGAAACCCAGGAGAATATTTTCTTGTAAAGCCATAGATGGGCAAAAATTACAACAGCTGCAATCATGCTAACCATATTGTATCTGAGGAAGTTTAATTAAAAGAAAAAGCTAAACAACTTATTACAATGCAAGAAAATTATACTAATTTAAAGATCCCTGTGTATTAGTTTATTAGCATTTTCAGTTGCTTTATAAGATATCTCTTCTGTAGCAGGGTCCTCTGGATACTGTTCCCTTAGACATCTAGAAACTGCTTTCTGATAACTTGGGTTTTCTTCTGGTGTGGTCTGTATACTTGTGACTAGTCACTGTAGTGTGAAGTATTAGTTCCAGGCAAAGAGACCATATAATATAATAGTTAAAAATGTACACTCTGGGACACCTGGGTGGCTCAGCGGTTGGGCGCCTGCCTTCAGTTCAGGTCTGATCCCAGGATGCGGGATTGAGTCCCACATCAGGCTCCCTGAGAGGAGCCTACTTCTCCCTCTGCCTATGTCTCTGCCTCTCTCTCTCAGTCTGTATCTCTCCCAAATAAATAAATAAATCTTTTTAAAAAAATGTTTTTGTCACTAACTAGGTATGTGTGATTAAAGAATGCCACAACCTACATTTTGACAGAAATAAACACCTATTTGCTGTACTTAAAAAAAATAGTAAACAAGCTTTTCCACCAAAACACTCTTTTCCTTGTGAGCATATGTATATACATATACATATGCTCCATTATGGAGTAGCATATGGTTTCCTCCTTCAAAAGAGTTTATAAATACCTGCTGTCTCTCAAAGTCATAAAAAAGTTTAGAAAAGTTCCAGAAAGTTCTGGAATGAATTGATAAGGAATGGCATAACTAGCTAACAATGCATAGGTAATGATGCTATAGCTTATGTAACTTTGGGGATAGCCAACCAGAATAGGACTGATACAAGTGCAAACCAATAGATCGTGAGGCGCACCCAGAGAGCTCAGGCTCCCCAATCAGAACATGGGGCTAGCCAGCCAAGCCATGATGAATATATAGCCTCTACTGTCAGGGGTTACAGATTACCACATAGTAAGTGACTTCACCCTTGGTAAAGATTGTACTAAAGACTTGGGCAAGCAGAGCCCACCAGACCTACTGTCTGGGGTAAGTGGCCGCAGAGGCATTGAGAGACACTGGCCAATCTCCAAACAGGTGATGCAGGCCTTCTACCAGCTATCGTCTCTTGTTTACTTGTAGTTGTTGTTTGGCTCGTTGAGGGAAATAAATGAGTGAAAGTTCTTTGAGTTAAATGGCATTTGTGTGCAACTTCTCATAATATTGCCTACTCCTTCATATCTTGTCTTTGTTTTGACATCGTTGCTCAGAAGAAGACATTGAGTAACCCAGGAGAAGTTATTTAACTTCTCTATAAACCCATGAGCAAGGTGGGGATATGAAGAGTTGTAAGAAATAAGTAAGTTAATATATGCCAAGTGCTTACTTAGAACAGCTCCTGGCACATGATAAATGCTATGTAAATGTCAGCTTTTATTCAAAAAGATAGATGCACCCCTATGCTTACCGCAGCATTATTTACAATAGCCAAATTATGGAAGCAACCCAAGTATCTATTGATAGATGAATGGATAAAGAAGATGTGAGATATATATATATATATATATATATATATACACACACACACAATGGGATATTGTTCAGCCATTAAAAAAAAATGAAATCTTGCCATTTGCAGCAACATGGTTAGATCTAAAAGGTGTAATGAAAAAAAATAAAATAAAATAAAAGGTGTAATGCTAAGTGAAATAAGCCAGTCACAGAAAGAAACATACCACGTGATTTTATCCATGTGTAGAATTTAAGAAACAAAACAAATGGACAAAGAAAAAAGAGACCAACAAAAACCCAGACTGTTGGCTATAGAGAGCAAACTAATGGTTACCAGAGGGGAGGTGAGTGGGAGGGATGGTGGAAATAGGTGAGGGAGATTAAGAGTACATTTACCAGGACACCTGGGTGGCTCAGCAGTTTAGCACCGCCTTCAGCCCAGGGCATGATCCTGGAGACCTGGGATCAAGTCCCACATTGGGCTCCCTGCATAGAGCCTGCTTCTCCCTCTGCCTTTGTCTCTGCCTTTCTTTCTGTGTCTCTCATGAAGAAATAAATAAAATCTTAAAAAAAAAAGTACATTTATCATGCATGATGAGCACTGAGCAATGCATAGAATTGTTGAATCACTATATTGTGCCCCTCAATTAACACTGTACATTAATTATACTAAAATTTAAAAAATTAAAGCTCTGGAAAGTTTTCTTAAAATATTAGTTCTTAATATTATCAAGAATTGGGGAAGGCCTCTGGGAATGAGATGTTAAAGGTTACCTGGGAGATATGCCTCGTTTTGCCTGGCTGATAACATGGAGGTTTCTTTTCACGAATATAGTTGATATCCACCTACTTCTTCTTTTGCTTTACAGTGCCTTAAAGGAAAGTCTAGTAAGCTTGGAAACTGAAAAGGCCTCTTGTCATTGGGGAAATGCAAACACACTCCCTTCTGGCTGTAGCCAGAGTGTGGGG